AGGTCGAAAGAAATTATTCTGAAATCGCACCATGGGATGATGAGGATTGCCATCTTAAGGCATTTCAACTTTTTACTCGGTTGCTCAATTCTGAGCTATGATGAGAGTGATTGTGTGTGCTGGAGATATTTCAGCAATTTCGAATTGCCCCTGCAATTAATACTGACAAAATTTGAGAAAAGTTCAGTAGGTCAAGAAAACTTGTGTGCCATCTTTTGCATTTCCACTTGGAATAAAGTGCTTGTATTAGTTATGGCTGATCTCGGCTCCAGTGGAAGGCTTTTGTTTCAAACATTCACCGCTCACACCCACTTTTCTATTTAAATATGCATCAATGGCGGGTTCAGCTAAAATAAACCACCTGGGAAATGTTTACACTGTGATCCTACCGCAAACCCTTTAGGGAGGAGGAAATGTTGTTCCAATCCCCATTTACACCAAGGGCTATAAATGACATGAGCAGTACCCATAACACAATACAATGCAGACTGACGCCAATGGAGACAGTCAGAACACTTTATAATCAGGTACTCAGGTCAAGGTACCTAATTTGCCAATTATTTCATTCGTTCAATCTCACAGACACCTTACTTCCACCGGCATTCACATGCGGTCCCGGCACCTCGGAGGTGATGATTGACTCGGAGACATCGGGAGTGTTTCACAGTCCCGGGTGGCCAGCCTCACTCACTCCAGGCAGTCGATGTCTCTTCCGTTTTGTGGCTCCACCTGGTCGCAAAGTGCTCATTGAATTCGCCAACTTCCACACCGAAGGACTTTATCCCTAGTAGGTCCACCGATTTTCGCTTCAGCAACCGATGCATTTGAGATGCATGATAATCGTTCGTTTAATGCCATGGCAGAACTAAAAGTATTTAAACCCTTGAAATGAACCTCTAATCTTGTCTTCAACCACCGTAGACAAATGCCGAATTTAAAGAGAATCTGTGCTGTGACTGGCTCATTGGGCTGGCTATGGGTAACATGCGGCGACTTGTAGAGGTGTGCTACAGTATAATTGTAGTTTTTGCTAACCTCCTCTTACTCTCAACTCTCATGCCACCAAATTTTGGCTGGTTTGAGCTCGTCTACTACTTTGTGAACCGAGAAATTTCTTGTCTGCCCTGAACATAGGTGGTTGAAGAAAATGCGACAAGCGAGGAGAGAACGAATTCCCAAACAGAACTATTTCAAAGAGGCATTGCCTGAACAGAGGTAATCTGAGTTTGGAAACACCCACACTATAGTGTGGAGAAAGTAAATTGTCAGTATTGGTGCTAGTGGAAGGACGCTTTCAGGCGTGTATCATGTGATTGGCACCAAAATGTGCAGTTGGTGCTGATGTAAAAAGGAGAGGGAGAATAGTTGTGGAGGGCAAGCTGAGCGATTCGCTCCCACCTATGTATGTCTCGCAGTAACAGATGAGAGACAAGAATCTTCAAGGACTATTATCTGGCTGCTCCCTACTTTGTACCGCATAAACACGACATCAAGAAGGATTTTTTTGTTCACCGACGGACCGAAAGACCGACTGGCTGCCTGTCTCTGTCTGGTAGTGTGTCTGATATGCAGTGCAATGTGGCATTAGTATTCCTACGTTATTTTGGGAGAGAAAACATACCATTGGTTGTCTCTAGACGATTACTTCGTTCAAGGGAAAAATGCTACCATGTTATGGCAGTTTCGTGTACATGATGAAGGGTAGGCACGCACCTCTTTACCCCGCGACTCCTATCCCTACTCATCTAAATTGAATATTTTCATGTTCTTACATAAAGCTTTTTATTATATAACTAACGGACTTATTATGGCCTATTTATATATTAAACGGAGAAATGGACTTCATTGGAAAAGGAATATTTACTGGTGAAGTTAGACCAAATCTCCACGATCAAACCCACCTTGAAATATTTCTTTCTCTAACTCAAAGGAGCAAAGGAATGCTGATATTTCCACCTAATTTAAAGACTGGAAAGACTGATTTTGCAGGAAATGCTCACTGCAGTTGTTTTTTCAACATATTCTTTAAATTGTTCGAGGATTTGCCTGATGCATGGAAGGCTTCAGAGTGGGAAGATGCAATTGAAGCTAACTTTCACAACTCCGCATGCTTGTTTGTTGTGTTTACTGTTTCCATGCAAGAATTTGCCTTTTGAGTAACTCCGATGCAGTCACTAAGCAAGTGTTTCTCTTCCACTTATTGGGTCATTGGGTGTCGAGGCTGTGGGATGAGCGTCATCGTGGCTGGGTTCTTCACTGTCGTAGAGATGTGTGGTTAAGCTTCCTTGTCCCCATACCGAGCTATACACAGTTCGAAGTCTTCCGTCTACAATTTTGAGTATTACGTCTATGTCCTTTTTGATGAGGCAATTTATCCACCTCAGTGGCTGTTCTCTGTGTTTGTGTGTGCTCCCTGCAAAGTTGTCACAAGGACTTCCTGGACGTCTACATCGACGTAGCCGCATCGCATCCACGAAATAAGGAAGAGATGCGATTCCTGGCATATCTGCAAGAATCTCAAGGACAACAGACCACCACACCCTTTGTAGCCCTTCTCTTCTCCTCCATGCTTGCACGCTCTCGTCTGCTTGGTCGTTTCTGTGGCATCCAACGCGATGGCGGTGTGAGGAACATTCCACAATGCTTCGTCTCCATTCATCGCGAGGTCATCTTGGACTTCTTCACCGCTCCCTCCACTAGCAGAATTGATCGGGGTGAAAAGCTGGGTTTTAACGGCACATTCAAAATCATTCCTGATGGTGGGTTGTTTGGCATTATGATCACTCCAATATGAATGTTAGTTGATCTTCTGCATCACTGTCTTTTGCCTTTACGTAGATCTTTACTATCCTGGAAAGGTGGCATCTGCTCAAGACATTCCCTCTCTACCTCGTGCCTTTCTCACCTCTCGCAAGCATGAGAATGCCAAAAAAGCGGTCACGAATGAGCCCATTTGTCGGTTTGTTATACAACCGAAATCCGAGTCTGGAAGTGAGCGTGGTGAATTCGTGTCGCCTGCCTACCCCGGATTTCATCCACCTGGGCTGCACTGTATATACGCATTTCGTGGACAGCCTAACCAACGGATAAGCGTAGAAATTCTCGATCTCAGTCTGTCATCACAGTTGCATGCGTAAGATATGGCTTATTTAAAGCCTGTTTTTCTTCATTGTTCACATCAAATGCCAGTCCAGTCCCAGTTCTATTTGAAGATGTTTTGATTTTATCCAGAATGATTCGACCCAGCTGCTGTTTGTCAACTGATACAAGCTCTTACATGACCCTTAAGTGAGGGTCAAGCATCGGGTCTGGTAAATAGATGACAAAAATTATGCCACCACTTCTAAGGATTGCTCTCGAGGCATTCGGTGGTCATTTATCTCCAGCGGCCATCGAAATACAGTTGTGCCGTTTGAAACCGCACATAATTTAAAAACATAGGTTTTATACTGATATAAATGGACATAGCTATGAGCCATCTTTCTGATCAACTCTATGAAACTTTCTAAATATGTACTGCTCAACGCAGATCGGGACAATAGAATTACCCCCTTTCACACACTTTTGGCAATTCTCCATTAAATTCTTGACCCTTTATTCCTAAACCTGGGCCATTCAATAGTCTGGATAAGTTATTTGCAGTTGGCTAAGCCTCGTACATCCTTAGTTGGGTTTTAGCCCTGCCTAGCCGCCTACCTCGGTTCTGTTCAGCCAAACCCACACACACATACACAAAAATCACACGTTTTCACCCGGCCGTCGTTGTAGACAGCCCTATTTTCCCATTCATTAATACCGTTGTAGCACGGTGGTGCTTACTGGCAAGTGTGCAAACCGCGTAGGTTGTTGTCAAAAGTGGGCCTGAGTCTTCAAAGATTCAGTTACACAATGCAGGCGCCTTCCAATGTGACGTTAAGGGTCGGTTAGGCAGCAAGGAAATAAGGGTTGATGTGCATTTGAATTACCACTGCTACCAAGTGTGACGCCCAGGGCCACTGAGAACGTGGAATGCAATTCAATGAACATACAGAAGGGAGCGACATGAGCAACTGCCATTTCTTAATATTCCCCTCCAAAGTTGCATTGCTTTGTCTGCCAAAATTCACGAACAGAGGGAACAGAATAGATGAATTGGCTGCATATCTGGTTAAACCACCATGCACAGACAAATGAATAATGTGAATTCGGCTGAAGCCCTTGTTATTTCACATCCATATAAATGCGTAAGCATCATAAAACGATGAGATAAAGTGTCGCCATACAGCGCTATATTTACAAACCTGTTTGGTAGTGATCTAATCTCCCTCAGCAATAGGTGTTCAAAAAATGTCCCCCTTGGAACAGTTTCAAATTGCCATGATTTCGGTGTGGTGGTGGGTGTTTGAAAAGGCGCTTTTCTGTTCACTGTGCTATGGAATAAAAGTTGACGGCCATTACAAACAGGCAGATGGACAAAATTGAAATTAAGCCCCATTATAATCGCTTGTTCAGTCAAATGCACGAAGACGGAAGCCGCTAGGAATCCTTCCTTAGGGAAAATTTAGCCTTTAGGAATCAGAAAGTCACAATGGCTTTCCGAGGAGGGAGTAATCCCATAAAGGGGTAAGACTGAGAGCAGATGGTCTGAAAATAAACAATGATGTGCATGCTCACAAAAATTACATTGGAATGCGAATTTTACTTCACTTTACAAAATAATGGGATAGAAAGCCAGCCATTGAGTTAGTCGTTCAATGAGTCCATCAGTCGGTTCGTCGGTAAGCCAACAATCCCTTCTCAATGACTCGTGAAGAGCGGCTAGGTGACAGCTACTAATGCTTCCTGTCTGTCATCTGTTAATGCACAACATGAGGGTGGAATTAAATTACCCAGCTTACCTTCCACGACATTTCCCCGTTCCAGTTCACATCAGAGTCAACCACCCACTCTATCCCCACTCTAATCGTTTAAAGTGGCACATCCCTTCTTGGTCAGTTCACCCCTAGAAGTTTTATTTTCACCCAACTCTATAGGCTGCAGAATAGGGTCTTTGTCTCACAGATTTATAACCAAGGTAAAATTGCCTCACAAATTCTCCGGACGTCTCAATTTATCCCCGTCTGCCCCATTCACGAGAGTTCACAGTCGAAGAAAATTAGGCGAAAGAATGGCGTTGTTGTCCCGATAGACTGATGCATACCTATCTCTGGTATGCAATGAATAAAGTTACAACATTTCTTCAGTTTCGGAAATCCTTATGATTTACAAGTCCTAGCACTGAAACACCTCAGAGATTGCGTAAACAATTACTCGGTCTCGTGGTATAAATCATCGCAGACGCGATCTTCTGTTGCAAAAGTATACACAAGATTAAGGAAATTTCATGACATTATTCATTTGTTTTGGGAATTTTGCGTGGATGGGTTTCAAGGGACTCCGAACCCTTCATTGTGAACCGTCGCAGAGACGAATCCATTCTTAGGATATTGCTTAACACTGGGGAAATCATTCCCTACGACTACTATTCCCTTAGGCATACGGTAGGAGGGATAATTCTGTAAATTGTATCAACAGAGAAAAGTAGCAAATAATTCCCATGGGTCATTTGCAAGTCGTTGAAACTTATAAGAGCATGCATGTAGAAGGGCTGGTTGGCAATAGGGACGCCTGGAGAGCCGTGCCACCAAGTAAGAGCACGAACCGGGAAGTCGTAGAACTTCACCTTAATGCACCCTACAAAGTGTACGAGTTCGATTGGCCTCTAAATTATCACTGAATATTTAGTCATCCTTTCAGGTGTTCCACGGACTACATCCAATTTTTTGACGGAAATAACGTCCTCCATTCACCCAGCATTGGTAACCGAATTTGCGGTGAACAGAAGGGGCTGCAAGTATTCTCAAGCGAGTCTTCACTAACAATGATCTTCGTGACAAAATCGACAATAAATGAGGTGACTTTCTCCAAATATCGAGGATTTCGTATTTCTTATCAATTTTGGGATAAATTCGTACAGATAGAAGCGGCGTTCAAGGAGAAGCATATCCTTGGAACGGGTGAGTCTAGGGGTATTTGCAACCAGTGAAGTGTCAGTTCATAAGGTCATTAATAGCCGAGTCCTTCCACTTGATTGCTAGTTTGAAGAGTGTAAGGTCAAAATAAACTAAAAATTGAGCTTCCCGTGTTGAGGAAATCACTTAGTCAAATTCGTTTAATTCGAACTTGTATGGTTGTCAGCGGTGGTCGGTACCGCCTACCGACTGCTTGCATCAGTCTAACAATAGGCCATTCCCTACTCTCATTCCACCTTTCGATTCTCAGCTAGACTAAATTCGGTTGAACCAACGTGGCATGTCTGTTGCCCTCTGGATGGTGTTCAACCCAGTTTTGCTGAGTGATGAACGATGGATGCATCGCGATCAGAAAATCCTTCTAGACTTTGTGGCGTCGAAGTGTTGTATGCCGATACTGACGCCTTGAAGGAACTCATAAAATGTGTAAATAACAGTGTGTAGTCATGGACACCAAAATAGAAAGGAGAGAGACGAGCAAAGAGAACTAGGAAAACGGACTGTCTTCACATGCCATACATATAAAGCACAACTTTGGGAATGGACTGTTTGCTCACCAGCAGAGTGATCGTTTGTTGAATTTGAATTGAGCAATACTAGTTGGGTTTCAATGCTGGCAGAGCGAATGGGTCTATCACTTATTATGTCCAAATAGTCAACTCACCATTCACCACTCGCTATTCATCACATCTCATTCCACTTCAACACAACTGATCCATCTCATCTCAAGTGGATTAGCCCTACCTCAACCTACCACAACACAATCCCATCCCACACTCCACTGCTCCACTCTACACTGCGCTTCCACGGTTCGTATCACTTCATTCTCAAAAGACTACACTGTCTCCCATCTACTGTGTGGAAATCTCCCACAGTCAGTTTCCCTTTTTCGGCAGAACTAGAAATTAGACTGACCAGAAAATAATATTCTCACCCTGTGGATATTTCGGTGTTTTGACGGTGCACGTCAAATTATTTGCTCCCTCCGATCCAGAAAATTGAGCTGTTCAACGATATGAAGAGCTTAGCACACGAGTGTCTCTCTCACCACCGGCATCTATTCTTGACAAATGACACATTTCTAAGCTGTCACCCATTCTATAAGTACTATGCCACAATTGATAGCCACGGCAGAATAATCATAAATTAATTTAACTTGTTTTAGAGTGCGACTTTGCCATTCGAAGCGGAGGGAAGGAAGAAGGCAAGAAGCCTACTGGAGACGTTACAGAACTGCTGAATTTCTACTACAGCATGACTTTGCCACCATCGCACACATGTACCTTCTTTTTCCTCGGACGGCATGAAAGGCAGAAGGTGGAGACAATTCGGGCGGCGTTTGGCATCCTCGACCTGCCACCCAACAACCTGGACGATAACAAGTAGGCGTTTGTCATCTCCTACTGCACTAATATAGAAGAATGGTCTAGACACATCAAGTGAGCTTGCAAATCTAGGGGAGAAATCCTTTCAAAGAGCAGACATTTCATTCGATTTCTTCACGCTTGTCTACTACATTCAGGCACCATTCATCCCAGTCCATAAAGAATACCTGAGCTTGAAATCCACGGCGAAGTGGAAAGTTTTAGCAGAACGGATGAGGTACCTCGAGAATCATGAACGAATGCCTGCTTCACGAACTGGTTGAATGTTTACAGCAGGAATAACTGCGGAGGCTATGCGCCGCACCAGCCACCGATACTGCCACTCTAAGCTCCACATCCGTCTTTGTCTTACTGCTGAGTGGTTGGGAGTGCCATTACTTCACTTCACCGTACAGCGCTTAGATACCTTCGCAGCCATGGGTAGACATTGGTGGGCTTGAATTTAACACCTTGTTGTTAGCACTACGCTGTTATCACTTCCTGCTAAAAAGGTAGTACAAAATGAAGTTCCAATGTGACTCAAGAGCCCGCTCTATGAGATCATAAATTCAAATTCACGTATCACAGGTAGTGATGGAGAATATGAGTGCTGACACCCTTTGCCATTAATAACCATTACCTTATGTATACTTATTGCAATTCATTTTTGATTAAGCAGTTACTAATAGCATACGTACGGTAATGAAATCCACATTTCCTTTTGGGTCAGCACAGGCAATGTTGTGAATTATATGTCCTTTCGGATTTGCGGGGAGAGCCCTCTTGCTTCATCTCAAGGTCATATGTGTAGTGGTGATCCCCCAACGCCTGTGCACATACAAAGTGAAGGTGAAGATGCATAATGCGTAAATGCTTGTCTGTACATCTTTCGATTAACATTTGTGGTAAAAGCAAGTTTGTAAATAATATGTTGCATAGCATGGAATTGAAGGAGGCGATGAGAAATAGTTGAGTGTCGTCAAAGCAACTTCTCCGTATGATGCGTAAGTGAGCACGGATCCGAATCTGCTGAGTTTGCAGATGAAGACATGAAGATGGAGGTCTTTGTAGTGGATAGGTCTGAGTAAGCTGAGACATTACGGAACGTGGTCAAGCATCTGTTGGTTGACTGCTAGGGACTCGGGGTGGTCCAAATCTCACGTGTCCATGGATTGACATTGACTCTCTGATTACTATTATGGCATTGGAAATCCAACTGTAAGCGGTGTTGGTCAATCAGGGCAAGAAAAAGTGAGCGAGGGCATAAAAAGTCTCTAGTACTTGGATATTAGAGATGTGGAAAGGGATGGTGTGGGCTGTGGTGGGCTGGGCGAGCTTGAAATAGAATGGGATTCAGTGTGTGGTACGTTGATCATTTGGAGATAGGTAATGATGTGGTTATTTCGCATCACCAATCAGTCAATCGGTCGGTAGGTCAATCGGCCAGTCAATTGTCGAGCAAGTATACCATTTTTCATGATGTGTTTTAGAAGTGAGTATGACCCACTTTTAAGCTCTCCTTCCTCGTCTCCTCAACTTCTCAGTTCGCATAGGCCATGTCTGAGGACGGTTCTTTGCATATGTGACTCCATTAAAGTCAAGGCGGTGATATCGATACACAACTCTTCAAAACTGCTAAGTTTAGAGGTAGATCCGTAATTTGTGCAGAGAAATGTTTTGACACCAATTGTTGCCACAAGACAGTTGGACAAGTTGTAAAGTTATTTGGTTTCCCATCAGTAGCATAAACAATCCTCGACAAAGAAACAGGTCTGCCTAGTAATAACGTGGTCCACTTGGAAAACAAGAAAATCATCTTTGCTAATTGTTTCAACAACCCACACTTGGGAGTGTCCCATTGAAGAAGTTGTGCAAACAGCTGTACCTAACCGATTCCCTCTTGGTTCCTGTAGGGGAAGCAATCTTGACCGCTACAGTTCATTTGGTTTATTGTTCTGTCAGTATCACTTCTTTTAAGAATTCTCACTCATCAATCAATCAAGAGGAGATATCAATCATTTCACTACTTCTAATTCAGTCACTGTGTCTACAACGCAGGAATTGGTGGAACCCTCTCACCATAGGAAGGGTAAAAAAACCGCATCTCATGAATGTGAGGCAGGTGACAAATCTCTCCATAAATCCCAGCATCAGGGTGCAAATTTACAATGAGGGTGGGTGGAGACTAAAAGGTCATAAAGTGCAACCTAATAAAAGCAGAAATCCGAACTCGAGGGAACTGTCACTGACGAGGAAACCGTTGATACTGGCCAATGCAAGAAATGAATATTTTTTTATTTTTCATAGATGTTCATATGGTCACATGGCCGTTTACGGGGCTCGTATTGAAAATGACGAGGAGTTCAATTTGCGTCCAGTCTACTCTTCCATTAAAGTCGGTCTGGATGCACACTACGAGGGAGGCATTGGCACTCTCGCCACTCCTACTGGATCGGTAGCACTACCAAGACCATCGCAAGTGTGGTGTGGTGACCACTTGGACGCAATCAAGACAAAGGACGATGTGGATAGCTCGGCAATCGTGTCACTTGGCTCTACACTAGCTCTCAGGTTCAATGCCAGTGGAAAGGCTGCCATGAATGTGCGATTCCAGGTCTTCTATAAGTTTGTATCAGGTGAATGCGACATCTTCTCCTCATCTAACCTGCTAATAATACTCTTCTATGATTTAAAAGTTCCTTCACAATTGGAACTCTGTCTTATTCTGTTTGTGCAAATTCCCAAACGGTTGTATCAACAGAAAGCGGAAAGTTTAGAAGAAAAAAGTGTGACAGGTTTGACAAGCATATGTTGACTTTGTTGCCAATACATCATATCACATATTATTGTCAAAATACAGGTATATGGGCTTTGGCTCCTCTACAGAGAACTCAATGGTGTATTATGACTATTCCCAACGCAGTTCGCATGCATGACATCCATAATTCCACATCTGGCTGCGGCGTCACGTACACATGTGGAAGGTGTCCCTCAGCACTTGATGACAAGTGCTTGTTTCAAATCATGATACAAGAGGTTTAATTGAATTGTTATGCAATGGTTAAAGAAATGGAATTGCACGATCCAAGTGAATGGATTCCACGCTCACCACAGCAGGGTTCCTTCTTGCGATGACAGCACGGTATGGGCCAGACGCTGGAGCGCCATCCATTTTCAAGACTGCTGCGCACTCCTTAGCAGTCGCAGACATCCACGCCCACCATCCTGCTGTCTAATATCAACCTTCACCTTTTGTCGTGCCTCAAGAGCTGCAGCGTTCCTAGTCCGAGGATAATTGCAACTCCTCAGTTTTCGAGTTGATTTTTAACTGATCGGTTAGGTAATCCAAATGTTGGCCTTATTTTCAGTGGTTTACAGCCAATTCTACCATTAAGGAGATTGCACATCAATGCGTTTTCTCCTCTACAGATTACGGGATAGTGGGTCTAATGCCTATTCCAAATATGTGCTGGTTCGTGTACAAGGGCAGCGATTACCGCGACGGTCAAGTGGGGTGGACTAATTCGCCCTTCTTCGCCAACACTTATCCACCAAACTCCACTTGCTTGTATCTCTTCCAATTTGACCCCGACCAATCTGTGCGCCTTTCCTTCACCACCTTCCAGACAGCTGCGGTGTTGGATCCTACCTCAGCCGCAGCTGACCACTTCCACCATTGTCCTCAAAAGTGCAAGCAGGTGGGCGATTTGTACGTGGCACTGTCCTTCATGCAACTCTCGTGACTGTAAATAAGGAAATAAAATGGACTTATCTTC